AATATGTAAGACTGCTTTCAGTTTCCATCTTGGATTCAGGAGACTCTCTGCTTTTAAGATTAGGTTTAAAACTTTGACAAAGCATAAAGTTAGGTGACCCTGATCCTCGGCCCTGATGCAGAGGAGTTATCAGTCTGAAGTTAAAGGTAAAATAGAAGCAAGACAAACTGTTTAGCTTTAAAAACAAGGTTTAAATGTCCTGGAACAAATAGACTTATTGCAGCATTATAAATGAATCATCTCTTATCTTCTTCATTACATTTACAGCATCAGTGGTCCCAGAGGATGTAGAGATATCTCCAGTTTGTTTCAGCAGGAGAGGTGTTTTTAAATTTGAAACTTCCGTCATGGACTCTGGGAGGGCGTATCGATGTTTTTATGCCCTTTCCATGTAATTGATTTTCCCGCACCGACTTTGATCTCCGTGTTTACTTATCCCTATCAATATTCCTCCACGCTTTATCTCAGCCTTCATCAGCCCCCCTCCCTCCCTCCTTTCCTTTCTCACCTCAGTGGGTGGCAAATTAATCCGGTCTCTCTTGCTCCCTTTAATCAAAGGACGATCAGGCACACAGCGGCTCGTCATTAAAGGTCAGCGCAGTTGGCAGGTGAGGAGATGCAGAAGCAGCTGATTTACAGCTACATCATCCAGAGTGTGATTGGACTCTCTGCTACCTGTGTGACACAGACAGGAAGTGGTGACGATGAGTCCTGCTGCGTCTAAGAGCTGATCTGTTTGATGTTCATAAGCTTTTCACATTTAATGCATTTTGATCTCGCAGTTTTCTGTCAGATCATTTTCCCCTTTGGCTAATTTGTGGATTATAACCAAACCCTGAGCGTGTCTCAGGCTGTTGGGATGTTCAACAAAGTACAAACGTGTGCACGTAATATAATGCAGGTTTGGCATGTGGAGAGCACTGGAGATGTTTTCAGTTTTATTCCTAAAGCCATCCATGCAGCTGGAGATCAGATCTGCCTGACACTCAACCACCCCCACAGACCCCCTTAGACCCCACAGCTCTTCCTGCAGGTAGTGGGACCACAGGAAGGTGGACCCATGTGGCTCATTTGTGCACATGCAGCCTGCAGGCTGGGTCGATGGCGGGGGCCTGTGTCCCTGATCCAGGTATGTTACTGAGTCAGGTCACACAAGAACAAACAAATATTTAAAAAATAAAACGTCATCAGAACCTTCATCCATTCATTCAACCATCAGAAATTTTCTGGGATAAAAAACGTGTTTGAGTTCTTTTCAAACATCCAGCAGTCACAGTCTGACTCCAGGTCCGATCGTTCAGCTCGATTCTGTAACCAACTCTTAGCATGAAGCTCAAACTTAGCGTCACGTCACTGAAGATGTTACTGATCACAAACTGAGGCGGTGCTGTGGGAGGATGTTTCACTGAAGGTTTGAAAAATGCCCGCTGGTGCTGAAGGGAAGAACTCACTGAATGTCGTCCACATTTTAATCTGGAGGACGGGAGTTTGCCTCCGTTACTCCGAGCTGGCTGGATGGAATTTCCATCTTGTAAGAAAAAAGAGCTCATAAAAACTTTCAACGGATCACGGTTGATCCGTAATCCGAACCGATCCCACTCCACAGTTCGGCACGCACACTCGAAGATTCGAAAAAGAAGAAAAAAAGTATGTGTATGGTGGTGTGGTCAGCCTGTCAAGCGATAGTTATGGCCAGCGCTAGCGGTCCAAGTGGAGGAGCAGAGGAGTTTGCAGTATTTAAGCAGCACTTTGCTGCCCAGCCCGACCGGCTAAAGCTATTACAGAAGCTACTGGGGTGTTTAGCTGCAGACGGGAGGCCGTATTCTGTTGTGCAAAACAAGGTTTAAACTATGATGAACGTGCTTGAGCCACATATGATATCCCGTTGCCCGTCCACTTCAGTGATAACATCGTTCCAGGCATGTGTGAGCAGGAAAAAAGTTATGGATGAGCTTTATTTGTTTTTATATAATTGCGTGGAATGAGTCTTGAGTTGAATGTTTTTAATAGGCAAAAAATACCTAAAAAGTTAATAAGTAAATGTTAAAATTTTGTCTTTTTTTCTTTTTTTGCTGATCCGAAAATTGATCCGAACCGTGAGATTTTTGATCCGTTGAGTAAACAGCAAGTGCAGAAAAGGGAAGAAGAGCCGCGGAGGCTCGACGGAGGCTCGAGTTTTTATTCCGTCCAGAGTCAGCTGAAAACGTTCTCGTCTCTCTGGAAACTTCTGGCTCTTCAGACCTGCGATGCTCAATCTTGAGTTTTGCCGATGAGTGACCTTTGAACTCTATCAGACTGAACTGACCCAGCTCCATCCAGGCGGCACGGACACACACAGAAGCCTCGCGTTGGAGGAATTCAGGTGCGCTTAACAATTCCTTCCCCAGACTTCGGCACCGCGTGCCATCCTGCACATCTCAGGACATTAATCCAGGCAACAATGAGACGAGACAAACACGCTGCGGCGGTGATAATGGAGAGCAGCAGGACAGCGAAGCTGATGGGAAATGGACAGAAAGGACCCGCGGCGAGGTCTTTTCAATCAGCACACTCGACAAAAGCTCCTCCTGCTCCTCTCGGGTTCCCTTTCTGAAGGATAATGGCGGTCCAGCTCCCGACTCGCTCTTTGTTGACTTTTTGTCAGCGGCTATAATCAACAGCGCCGCTGCCGGCCGATAAGCGCCCGGCCTCGTAATGATGCGATTATTCCTCAAATTGCATTTTAAGCTTCATGGAGCAGCCGCAGATGGAGGTGAAGTCAAACCTGCGCGTTAACGCCGGCCCGTTCGGCCGGACCAGCGCTGCTGTCCACCCTGATGCTTCTCATGCTGCGCTCCTGCTTCATGTTTGTGTAGGATGGATGGTATTTAAGGCCATCCTTCTCTCATGAAGCATGTTGATTTGTCTTTCCCAGCTAAAGGTGAGCCATCACATTTTGACGCTAACCTTAAACACAGTTTTCTATAGGAGCTCAAAAAGCAGCTTTTCTCTCCGACCCTTCACCCCGAGCGAAGAGCTGCAGGGAACAACGAGCTGACGGCGTGATGCCCAGACTCTTTATAAGTCTGAACGGCGTTCACAGTGACTGTGTGACTGACAGAGCTGTGCCGGCGTCGTGCATCCGTGTCCGTTCACCTCGTGTGACAAACTTTCCTTTAAGGAACGTTTAAGTCCCAGAGCAGGAAGGTTCAGCTCGGCTCAAACAAGCACAAACAGAAATCCATGCATGCAGGAGCGATGCCTGCACATGTCGACGTGCAGGAAATGCACTGTGTATATCTGCGACGACGACACCTCTGTATCGGCTTTACGTCATTTATGAAGGTGCACCGAACACCTCGGCTTCTTTTTCCACAAACATTTTCCTGCAGGTGAATCCTGTGCAGCTCTGTAAGCTGAACGGCAGCAGGTCTGTGCCTGTTAGAGACAGGCGCTCATGCTTCCTGGGTTTATTAAGGAAGTGATTTAAAAACACATGAAGAGTGAAGCAGGTCAGGCTGTCACAGTTACTCTTTCACTTTCTGCATTATTAGCAGAATCACAAACCTCTTCAGTAAAATCACAGACGTGGTCGTTGAAGCTCCGGCTGCTGATTTCAGAGTTTAAATATTAATCACTGAGAACTGATTGAGGCTTTGTCTTCTTCACATAAACACTTTTTGTTAATTGTTCGAACTTTTTCCCCGAGCTGTAGCGTGGCATTTACAGCCTCTGCTCATCTGCACTCCTGCTGTTCACTTTTTTGGAATTACACAGCAGGAGGAGAGAAACTCAAAGAGGCAGAAAATGAGTCTGAGTGCAGCGCGGGAAGAAAATGTTCTGATACTTTTTCTACTGGATACAATAGTAACGACTCACATGACACATTCGTCCCCAAATGTTTCATTCAAAACACGAAGCACTTTGTCACTCTGTGTTTATTATGATTATTACTGGATGAGTGGGTGATAAAGCTGTTTGTGATAATCACAGATGCTCCAAAGTGTACATGCAGCACAGCAGTGAAGGTATTTTTACATTTCTCTGCAGCTTTGTTGCTTTAGAGTTTTGCATAAATGAAATCAGCGGATTAATCGTGGAGCTGATCGAGGCATTTTAAGTGAAAATAAGAAACATTTCATGTTTTTGGTTTGTTTCATTTTAATATTGTGGAAGATTTTTGTGTCACAAAACTGATGATTATTCAAATATCCGTCTGTCGCTGGCGTTTCATGTCCCCGTTATTCAGTTTGCAAATTTTATTATTTATTATTTATTTTTTATTTTTTATTTTTTATTTTTTATTTTTTATTTTTTAATTTTTATTATTTATTATTTATTTTTTATTTTTTATTTTTTATTTTTTATTTTTTATTTTTTATTTTTTATTGTTTATTATTTATTTTTTATTTTTTATTTTTTATTTTTTATTTTTTATTTTTATTTTTATTTTCCTCCAAACAGACAAAATGAAGACGCTCGTATGACACGTGCTGCCAATATTCATCAACTCATTGATCTCAGCTCATCGTGTCTGAAAATGTTCCCGATGGATAACGAAGACGATTCCAGCTGATGTTTCCTGCTGATGTCATCACCTTACAGGTGCCACGCTGTGAATGGTCGATACCTCGGCCCCTTCATTAAAACAACACTGCACCTTCAAGTTGTCCAGAAAGCTTTGGGTGACATCACAGTGGCTACGCCCACTTCTGGGCAGCTGATTGGACGTAGTACTGGCGTCGTGTCATTTTTCTTATTTCTAGTCGGCTCCTGGACTTGAACAAACGCCGCCTCAGCCTGTGGAGGCGCCGCTCTCTGTTCACGCGTACAGGCTCGTTCTGAGGTAATGAAAACATCATTCTTCCACTCAGGTGATTACGCACTAATGAAACCATACATTTTCTTACCTACAGACGTCCACAGTGAAGCCTTCACAGAGGAAAAACCAAATAGGCCTGCCTTCATCTCGCCGTCAGAACATTTGTTCTCTGATTGACTTCCTGTGCTGTAATTCAGGAAGTCCTCCAGAGACTCGCTGACAGATTTTCAGAGACCTGCTTTGACCTTATCAGCACGGAGCAAAGATATTTCACTTAGCGTCAAATGTGACGGCCACGTACAGCAAGCGGTTCAGGCGCCTTTCATCCCGACAGAAGCACCGCAGCACACTTTAGCATCACTGCAGCGAGACGTCCACACAAAGGAGGCCTCGCACACGTGAACGCACCTCCTGCAACGAACGGATGCTGTGACGGCGTGCTAATCCAACCAGCAGCAGACACAGGAAGAACATCTGTGATGAGGAACATCGTTACTCCTCGCCATCAGCAGATCCTCGTGCTTCTCCTCATTGCCTGTATCTCCTCTTCATATTCAATATGTTTCTAATCGTGAGGCTGCATCAGCCTCGTGGATCTGTGTGACGTCTGCTTCTGTGTGTCGGGCTGACCTGAGTGAGTGAAAAGCTCCATGCTGTCTTATTCTGTCTCCACATGTTGATGGGCGAGTTGTTCTGTCAGCGTGGAGGATCAAAAACTATGAATATTCAGTAAGAAACACAGTGCTGCTGTGCTGTCATCTCAGGAACAGAAGCCCCGCCCACCAGGTCTTCTGTTTGTTGGGGATAGCCAATCAAAGGTAAGTTGCCTTTAAGGAGGAGGAGCTAAAAATTGCTTGTTTCAGATTGGACAGGCTGAGGCCCGGCATCAGTTAAAGAAGGATTATTCTGAACTGTAAATCATGCAAAGCTGCTTGAAGGCTTGTGTTTGTTACAAACCTGCAGACGTCATCAATGAAGCGCGCTTGGTTTCATGGAAATGACAAATATTCAAGTCAAATACTGTTAAGGCTGCACAGATGACAACAAAGAGTTTAGCTGTGAAGCATTACACGCCTTTGTTTCTGAAACAGCAGCAGGAGCAGGCAGAGTGTTTCTGTCTGACTCTGCTGGGAGTGTTTCTGCTGTGGGAGTGACAGAAACACTCGCATGCTCTGGGAGGGGAAGGCAGCAGAGTTTAAAAATGTTTAGTAGTATTAAACTGGTAAATATACAAGAAGACTTGAACACAGCAGCACACGCGTGAAGGGGAAAATATCCGATTTAAAAAGTGTTTTACAAAGTCGAAGTATTTCGACTTTATAATCAAGAGAAATCACAAACTGAGCTCAACGCTTTATTCAC